TAGTTTGTAAGAAAATTATCACCGATTTTGCTGAAATTTTGCTGGATGGTAGTTCGCGAAGAAATAGGGGATACGTGTTTTTTTATATTGACAATCGAGCACCGTGAAGGGGTGAAAATGGCCGTTGAAGTTGTGAGAGTTGCGTAGGTTGGTCGAAGTTGGGGGTAGTAAGTGTGTTTTGTATGATATCTCGGAAACTATTGGAGATAGAGGAGCAGTGTAAATTGAGAAATTTTGTATTTTTTAGTGATAAATTTGAAAAATAAGAAATAAAAGGACGTTCGAGGTAAACATGTTTATTATTCTCATTTCTTAGGACGATTTTCATCTTTTCGAAGTGGGCGGTTGCTGGTAAAAAAAAAAAATAGGTGTTAAATATTGTTTTTGGTACTACTCTGTACCAAAGTTTCCCTTGTTGAGAAAGTGTTCGCGATGACCAACCAAATCTAGAGTCCATTTCTATGATTCACTCTTGTTTTCGACAACTTTCTCGTGCGTTACTCATCCAAATTTTAAACTACCTCGAACCCTTATTGTTAGTCACCGATCCCTCCTGTCTTAGTCCGTAAGTTACACACAGGGTGAACCACCTAACGAGATCACCTTAGAGTACATTATTCTGTTACCAGTGGATTATTGAACCCTTTTTTTTTATGTCGCATAATATGGCTCAAACATTATTTTCAAAATTTTCAAGATCACCCTCAATTTTTGATAGACAAACCTACAATTTTTCTACGTCCATCTTTTAGTGTATTTTCACACGAATTTGGCACGCATCATAAAATATCTCTTTCTCCGTCTGAATTAAAGGAAGAGTAGCCTAACGAAAAAGTATCCCAAAAATGTCCAATAAAAGAAAGTGCAAATCCCATAGAAAAAATAGAACAAAATAGAGATATAAACTGGAAAATTGTACGTTCCTTGATCCTTAGAAAATAAAGAAGAATATTGTAGGGGTGAATATCGGTGTTCTGGATCGCCTGTTGGTGATCCCGCCAACTCGTTAAGTCACGATTTTAATTAGCTTCAATTCTTGAGCTCAGCCTGCTCCGAGGGCGGAAAATCGAGGTGTTGATTGGTTAGACGAGGCTGGGATCGGGTTTGTTAAACTTCCTGTTGTTTTAGGGGCAACTTGATCTCGGATCCTGTGTAGCATGTAATAGGTTAGGCGAACGAGGCTTTGAGGATAATTGGAAGGTTAACATAACGGCAGTCAGATTAGACCATTTCGTGAATAGTATTTTATTTCCACTCTATTCAGGCTTTTCCATTCACGATACGTGTAACAGCATTTTGTTGTTTTCAAACAGTTCCTCTATTTTTTTTTCCGCCTGCAGTCTTTTGTTCGAATTGTTCTCGATTATCGATACAGCGTCCCACAGGAAGTTGAAACATTAATTGCAGTTTGAAAACCAATCACGTTTACATCACATGTTTCTCCCTCCCCCCCTTTTTTTATTATAAATACCGTATATAAAATCGTTTTCAAATTTTCTTCCTTTAATTCCTGGGATTTTTATGTGACAGAACGGAGAACGTGTTACTGCTCGAACGGGAATTATCGCTGTGTTGTTCGCGATGGAAATGAAGTAATTGTTGAATTTTGCGATCGATATTTTGATCAGATGAATTTTTATATTTTATCGTCTTAACTCTTTCATTATTATTGGCGCTTAATATTGGAGCCAGTTGATGCACTTCGACCTTAATTTCATACTTAATTTTATCCATTACGCACTTCCATCTTAGTCTAATAAATCAAAGTTTGAAAGTATATCGCCAAAAGAAAAAAATTTGCATTTGTGGTTAAAAATTTACTGTCTGTCATCCGCGTTACGCGATGAAATTTTCTGTAGCGAAAGTGTTAACGATAAAGAGTTAATACGAAAGTGAACTTTGAAGTAAATAAATGAAAAATGGTAGAATTATTTGTCGAGACTGTAATATTATTGATTTTCCATCTTCTTCGCGGGGTAAAACACAGTCAGCAAAAAAGAAAACACGGTATACGTGGTGAAAAGCAGCCTAAGCACAGCGTACATTGTCCAATCCGCGGTGGAATGCGTTAAAGCCGTCTTTCAGTCGCATAATCCTTCCACTGTTTCCATCGGTGCGTTCGTCGCCCAGCTCTTTCGTTGTGTAACTGCATGTCGTTGCATATAAGTCACACAGTTGCCTCTTCCTCCGCAAAACCACTCGCGATGGTGTCGTATTGTGGTGATCACCGTTCTCCTCCGGTTACTACAACCTAGTCAATCGAAGCTGTTTCGATCCTCATCTTCAGTCAGTCAGAACGTGGCCAGCTGAAGCCACGAGTCGTTCAACTGCTCTGCAAAGCGTTCGTAGAACCGTTGTTGATTATTGCGATGAATATCAAAAGTTCAAGTGCTCTTCGAAGTGTTCTTAAAGTCATCGTAAATTATTGCAGTGAATTTGAAAAATTTAGCTGGTCTTCAAAGTGTTTTTGAAACCACTGTAGGTTACTTCAGTGAATTTCAAAAATTCAAGTGCTCTTCGAAGTGTTCTTAAAGTCACCATAAATTATTCCGGTGAATTTCAAAAATTCAAGTGCTTCTGGAAGTGTTCCTAAAGTCACCGTGGGTTATTGAAGCGAATTTCAAAAATTCAAGTGCTTCTGAAAGTGTTCCTAAAGTCACCGTGGGTTATTGAAGCGAATTTCAAAAATTCAAGTGCTTCTGAAAGTGTTCCTAAAGTCACCGTGGGTTATTGAAGCGAATTTCAAAAATTCAAGTGCTTCTGAAAGTGTTCCTAAAGTCACCGTGGGTTATTGAAGCGAATTTCAAAAATTCAAGTGCTTTGAATTTCAAAAATTCATGTGCTCTTCGAAGTGTTCTTAAAGTCACCATAAATTATTCCAGCGAATTTCCAAAATTCAACTGCTCTTCGAAGTGTTCTTAAAGTCACCATAAATTATTCCAGTGAATCTCAGAAATTTTATCGATCTTCAAAGTATTTTTGAAACCACTATATGATATTTCAGCGAATTTCAAAAATTCAAGTGCCCTTCGAAGTGTTCTTAAAGTCACCATAAATTATCGCGGTGAATTTCAAAAATTCTATCGATTTTCAGAGTGTTCTTAAAATCACCGCAGGTTATTCCAGTGAATTTAAAAAATTCCAGTGCTTTTGACCACTGTATCAGCGAATCTTAAAAAGTTTATCTTAGAAACAAAGAAGAAGTATAGTTTCGTCAAGAGTAATGGATCCTTCGACAAGTGTCTCTTATGCAGAGCTTCTTCTGATTGTGAATGAAGGTGTTGCGTAGTAGCCCGTTGTGCGTCTTCTATAGCATCTCTAGAGTGTTTATTTGCGTCACGAATTATAAGAATTGATTGAAATTGTGAGAAGCTTCGTTTGCACCTTGACTCTGAGATTATAGTCTCAAGCTTCGATTGCACCTTGACTCTGTGTCTATAGTCTGAAGCTTCGATTGCACCTTGACTCTGAAACTATAGCCTGAATTATCAGAATTGGTTGAAATTCTGAGAAGTTTCGATTGCACCTTGACTCTGAAACTATAGTCTGAATTATCTGGAGTTAATCAAAATTGTGAGAAGTTTTTTCGCGCCTTGACTCAGACTATAGCCTAAAATATCTGAGTGGATGAAAATTGTGAAAAGCTTCATTTGCGCCTCGACTCTAAGTAATCTAGGATCTTCATCAAATATAATAATTCGCGAGTGATTACATTTTTTGTTCACGTTTTCCCGAACTCGCGAGGATGCTCTTCTACGACACAATGACTGTGAGTACACGAAGAATCTGTTTAATAAACGAACAGTACAGAAGCACGCATCGTCATTGCTCCGATAAGGAAGTCCAAAAGAGTTGTAAAATTAGAATTGACACATGGTGTCTCACAGCTAAAAATAATACTAATATCTCTCGTAAAAGAAGTCCAAAAATACTTCGATAAGATTGCAAAGATAATACTCTTCTGTTTCGAAACGATTCACGATTACAAATCGACTGCAAATCGCGTGTAAAAAAAGCTTCACCATGTTCCCCCGAATGAAAATTCACAGTTTCGTCTAATCACAACGATCTACCGTCACTTTTTGCAAAGGAAATTTCTTCTCTTGGCTAAGGGAGATATTGAGGCGTTTTCCTTTCCATTGAAAGATTTGCGGTTTGTTGCTTGCGCGTATCTAGGTCTCACGTGATAGTGTCGCTTTATAAGATTCCTCGCGGGACGCTTTGTCGAAGCAGTTTTCAACAAACCCCTTACTTCAAGTGTCTAGACGCGATAAATTTTGTAAATTTGTCGATTTACTCTCGAGGTAAATTAACTTATCCGAATCTTACGCGTGATTCTAATAGAAAACAAAATTGACTGAAATCAGAAGTAATTTTAAATAAAAAAAAAAGTATCTTTCGAAATTATTTCCAAGAACTAAGAATGTACAGGGTGTCCAGTAAACCGTACCAAAACCAACAAGAAAGCGATTCCTTGTAAAATAAGTAGATAAAAAATGTAAAATAAGCAATCCAAAAAATTTCATTCTATATTTTCTGTTTATTCCTTTTCTTTTTATTGCAAGCAATCCAAAATATTTAATTCCACATTTTTTATTTATTCCTTTTCATTATAAGCAATCCGAAGCATTTCATTCTACGTTTTTTATTTATTCCTTTTTATTACGAGCAGTCCAAAGCATTTCATTCCACATTCTTTATTTATTTTTTTCTCCAAGAAATCACTTTTTTGTCGATCGCATTCGCGAAGAATGTGTTTTTTCCGCAACTGAATCGATTAAGATGCGTCGATCTAAGATCGATCGTTTAGTGACTTACATAAACAGCACGATTACGCTACTTGGTCCAACATGGCGACACAAGACGGACCAGTACTTTATGTAATCGTTGACCTACAGGCACAACCAGTCGGATAGTATCTGTGGAAGGGCTTCGATTAGCGTTGCAACGAGGATTCTTGTATAACTACGTGCTCATTACGAACGTAACCTTCGATGTGTTTCTATTTTCATTTTTCGCGCATTTTACCCGTGATTCATGGGTTGCGTTAACGATATCCATTTTCGAAAACACGGAAATCGCATCGGAAGTTCCGGGAGACATTACATCGATTTCGTTTCTGCCTCTGTTCGCTCGTATTTTTTTTTTATTTTCGTAATTACCACGCGTTTCGCAGCATATATTTCACGTTTTCAATTCGAGATACTTTTAGCGCGAGCAAATGTTGCGATTTTACTGTCGAATTTAAATCATTTTCGTTCCTTTTTTTATTTTCGACGACAAAAATTGTCGAGTTGAGTTTATTTCGCGGAAGAGTAGAGAAATTGAAAGTAATTACTTTTGTAGAGAATATTTGATAATTTTTTGTATCACGGCAAATTTTAGTAGAATACAGTTCTTTTTTATCCTTTGGAGAATTTCGAATTTCTGCTATCGTGTCTGTATTGTTTCGAAGCTTCGAATTAATGAAATTTCATCGATGGAATTGAGGATAATGCGAATTTAAAGTTGACAAGGTAAGATAAATCGAGCTTCTTTGATTTGTAAGGAGAGAAAATTGAAAATTATCGTGTTAGATTTGTCAAAACCTCACCGTACTACCCTAATTCGATCGAAACGAGCACAGTGACGAGTAACTCCTCGGGTAAAACAGGAATTCTATTTTTCTCGCTGCATAACCTATAAAATAAAAGAGACGACGGGACGAAAATTGAGAAGAGATGAATTGCTGTAGATGTAGAAAGGAGGAAACATTTGCAGATGAGACGCAGAGTGGAATATCCAACGTTGCAGACGAACATACCGAAGGATTTGTGTCTAACTTGGAGGAACATATCGTACACGATCGAGAAGAAGGCAAATGGCGGCAGTTTTCGAGCGATTTTCGGTTTGCAACGGACCGAATTCGTTCGACTGCTCAATGGAGGTACATTGAAGAACGTGAACAATGTCAGGGCAGACATAATCCAGAAAAATTCTTAATAAATTTCAAGATTAATTCTCTGTTTTACTTCTAGTCAGTGGTATAGTTAATTCCGGGATGTTGATGGCGATCATGGGACCAAGGTAACACTGGAGAACGCTACTCTAACCCCGGAATACTAATTAAATTGATCGAAAAATTTCTATCTCGAGTAGATAGAATTTTCCTCGAAATTTTTCCAATTTTAACTTTCAGTGTTTTGAGACCATCAGAGTACCGTATAAAAAATACACAAATACACAGGGTGCAGAAATAAAAATTACCTCAACATTTTTCTTGCATTCGCGTGGTCCCAAAAATTTTTCGTTTCTACTTAAATTAATCGAAAATTTGAATTTTAAGTTGATAAACCTTTCCTCGAAATTTTTCCAATTTTAATATTTTAATATTCCAAGAATATTAGAGCAAATTAACCCTTTGCACTCGGAGGTAATTTTGCTGTAGAAAAGGTTACAAAGCGGATCTTTGAAATTTTTTCAAACTAACGTAGAAATAAAGTATACTATTTTATTTAAATATTCAATGTATTCGTTATTTCACTGTGGTGAAGAAATTTACGGAGGCCCATAGATCTGTTCTCTGTCTCCGTTAATTGTTTAATGTCGCTTCTCAGTCACCACTCGATTGCAGAGGGTTAATATATACGGTGGGGCACTAAAAATTACCTTACTATGTGAATAATGAAACTATTTTTCAAATTCTAATAACTCTTACCAAAAAAGAAATTCTTTTAAATTCGCATGTTCCCAGAAACATTCAAAGTGTCAATTTTTATCACCTCACCCTGTACAGTGTGCTCCATAAAAATTGTTCACTTCCAATTAAATTAATGGAAAAATTTTCATTTTGAGTAGACAAATATTTTCCCGAAATTTTTCCAATTTCAATATTTCAATATTCCAAGAATGTTACAGCGAATTAATACACAAGGTGGAGGCGCTAAAAATCACCTCACTGCGTGACTAAGAGAAATATTTCTCCAATTCTGATAACTCTTACCAAAGGAAACAAAAAATTCTCTCGAATTCACATGTTCCAAAAAAGGAAAAAAAATTCAAAGTGGCAATTTTTATTACCTCACCCCGTACAAGAGCGTGCTCGGATGGAAAACAGTTCACTTTCGGGGCATTTGGACCTCCGCTAGACGAAATAGATTCGAGGATCGTTAAATATCCAATTGGCGCGTTACCAACGTTTACATCAAGCGAACGTTACGCTGTACTTACAACGGAAGATGGCTCCCGCTTAACGTTTCCGGATTAAGATTTTAACGTTCCGTTTTTCTACCCGGAGCCGGCGGAACAGTTTGCTGATGCGTTTAATATTACAGTCTGCGCGGGGTTAGGCGGAGATAAAATTGGATGTTCGTAGCGCGGCTCGTGAAAATTACCAGTGCTTAGTATTCCGGGGTTAATTGTTTCTAGCGTGGCGGTGCCACGGAGTGGAGGGACGGGTTTTTCCCCTCGGTGAAAGAACTTCTCGCTTTTGCAGCGGCGCCGGGAAAACTACTCTGCTCGCGACGATCAGCCGCCGCGTGAAAGGTTCATACGTCTCTTTCTTCTACCCTTTAATCCCAACACGACACAATGAGACACTGTTCTCTTCTTTCTTTCTTTCTCAGCGAAGTTGGAGAAATTAATTAGAAGAATTTTCTTCTCTTTTTTTTCGTCGATTTTTCAATTTGGCTCGGTTTGGCGATTACTTTGTCGGATAGTTTGGTGTGATTTATCAGTCTGGTAGTAGTGTTTTCACCGTATTTTTAAGTAAAGTTGGAGAAATTAATTAGAAGAATTTTCTTTTTTTTTTTTTCAATATTTCAATTTGCCTCGGTTTGACGATTACTTTGTTTGATAGTTTGATCTGATTTAACAGTTACATGGTAGTGGTAGGAACATATACAATGAGACACTGTTCTTTTTTTTTTTAAATAAAGTTGGAGAAATTAATTAGAAGAATTTTCTTTTTTTTTTCGATTTTTCAGTTTGTAGATTTGGCTCGGTTTGGCGATTACTTTGTCGGATAGTTTGGTGTGATTTATCAGTCTGGTAGTAGTGTTTTCACCGTATTTTTAAGCAAAGTTGGAGAAATTAATTAGAAGAATTTTCTTCTTTTTTTTCGATTTGTAGATTTGGCTTGGTTTGATGGGTACTTTGTTGGATAGTTTGGTGTGATTTATCAATCTAATAGTAATGTTTTCTTAAGTGAAGTTGGAGAATTGTTTTCTTTTTTTTACGATTTTTATCTTTGGTTAGGTTTGATGATTATTTATCAGTGAAACGGGAATTCGTTTTGCATCATTGATTATACAGAGTGCCTCGTGCAACTGGGTGCTACATATATCTGTAATTCGGAAGGTATTACCAAAATGTAGAACACACAAAATCGTTTAATTTTCATTTCGAAAACATTTCTCTATCTCTAACCCTTTCAAAGATGCAATTTCGCCCAATTTTCTGAAACACTCTACACATTCCAGCTATTAAATTAGCTATAAAAATTAAAGATAGAGGCACCAGTGACAGAACAAATAGCAGCTATTTAAAATCTATACCTGAATAATTGTATAAATACATTTGATAATTCTTCTTTGAGTTCTAAAATTACTGCATTGGTCGTGTATAAATTTCGAAAATTCGATAGTTTCAAGATAGTTTGCATTAAATTTGTCAGAAATTTAGAAGCACTGGTTCCGCAACTTTTACAATTTTCATTATTTCACGAGGGAAAAAGGGAGAGATTTTTGAGCAATGCATTTTCGATCGATAGGCGAAGCGACAGGTGACATCCTGCTAAATGGGAAGGCTATCGATACCGGCCAAATGATAAGGATATCGGGGTTCGTTCCGCAAACGGATCTGGCAGTCGAATCGTTGACAGTCCAGGAGCACATGGAATTCATGGTTGGTTCAATTAGAATGCTCTAATTAACCCTTTCACGGCTTCCCAGTCTCCTTCGATTTTCCAATTCTGTTCCCTGTTTCTCCAACAATATCTCCGCTTTCACCAAAAATATTCGAAATTTCACCGATGTACTCCAATAATGAAATTTAAAAAATCACAAAAAAATTGCAATAATAAAATTCCGAATAGAGCACGAAAAATTTCACCATGAGAAGGAAATTTTATCTAATAACAATCCTCCGCTTTCGACAAAAATATTCGAAATTTCACCGATGTACTCCAATAATGAAATTTAAAAAATCACAAAAAATTGCAATAATAAAATTCCGAATAGAGCACGAAAAGTTTCACCGTGAAAAGGAAATTTTATCAAATAACAATCCTCCGCTTTCGACAAAAATATTCGAAATTTCACCGAGGTACTCCAACAATAAAATTCAAAAAATTGCAATAATAATATTTTAAAAAGAACACAAGAAATTCCACCGTAAAAACCGTTTTATTAAATAAACAAAATTATCGGTAATGTCTGTCAACGCGAAAATTCCTCATTTTTCGTTTCTAACTGAAAATGAATTTTTCCCAATATTGGAAAATTCTTTTACCGAAAGAAATATCGAGTACCGTGTCTATTATAGCGGCGTTGAAATTGCTCCTTTGATATATTTCGCCGCTGATAAATGCCATAACTCATTTTCGACTAATCACTCTGGCTTCGAACGGCAGCGACGATCGATCTCGGAAAAATTGTACGTCGATCGAATTGCGGATAACTAGAAGCATGTGGACGTTTATGGGACAGTGGTTCACGGTTGAACGAGTCGAATAATCGTTGGACAAACTCGTGTCGATCGGCAGTTAGTGGCTTAAATAATTGCATTTTATTCGCGAACGAATAGGCCGGCTTGTGTACTCGAGATCAATAAGTGATTGATATCGCGTAGATAATCGGTGACACGTTCTGTAATGGGAGAACGTTACGTAGACCTGATATCTGTACTTTTCAATTCACTTGTAGGTAATCGAACGGTGATTTCTTTATAATCTTTACTTATTTTTTTTTTTTTTTTTAATTATTTAAACGAAGGAAATAATTATTCGTTGCTGTGTTTTAATTAGCGAATCTGGAGAGGAAAATACGATTTCTTTGAAGAAAGAAAGAAATTAAATTTTTATTATAAAATTGTTGAACATAATGATAATAACGAAAATGCAAATTATACTATAATGTATATGTAACATTGAAATTTTATCAATAAATTTTAAAGCTCAAATCTTAAAAAAGTTATCTGAGAAATTGAACGAATTGATAAAAATATTTACACAAGCAAAGTTATAGTGGTCACATTTTTTTAATAGTATCCTTAAGTATAATCTCTGAGGAATATATTCAGGTAGAAATTTAGTTATAGATACACTTGGTAATTTTTCATTGGAAAATGAAAATTTTGAACGTGAACCCTTTTTGCAAATTTTTCAAAGCGTGCCTTTTATGCGAATTTTCAAAAATTAACCCCTTTTTGCGTGTAATCTGCATGAAAATCTCCTCCTTGCGAACCTCGTGTCCAATTTTCCTCGGGAACGCTCCACCAATGCTCATCGACCTATCATCGTCAATTAACTCGTTTAACGTTTCGGGAACGGATTGAATTTCGGGCCCATTAAAACTTGGCGATTGTTCTGGCATGATCAAGGCGTGCATGAAAATGGACAGGAGGCTGTGGGCGAATGTCAGACGGCAACGAATAACGACGCTGCTCGCTGAACTCGGTCTTGGAAAATGCGCCAGCTCAAAATTGTCCACCCTGTCCGGCGGCGAGAGGAAACGCGTCACGTTAGCTGTTCAAGTAAGCTCTAGAAATTAGCGAACGGTGATTTTCTGTCGATTTAGGCTGATTCCGGTTGATTAATGGATTTACGATTGAACGCGCGAGAACTGTTGAGAGTCTGATGAGAGATTAATGATGGAATCTTGGTTTGATGATGATCGATAAGAGTGTGATGTTGTTAATTAATCGACGCGTCTCTATTGATTGATAAATGTGGTTGGTTGATGTGGTGTTGTGTTAGGATGAGATTGATAGTGATGTGTAGAGGATGAAGTAAGCGGTGATTCGTGGGGAATGAGTGAATATTGTGTGAATTTGTGGTTTGTGGAAATGTTGTTGATTTATTTTGAGGTGTTTTTTTGTGGAATTTGGAAGCTTAGAAATTTAAAGGTTGAGAGGATCGAAGATTCAATTATTTGAGGAGTGAAATGTTTAAAGACTCAAATACTCAAGTACTCAAAGGTTCAAAGGTTGAAAGATTGAGGGATTCATATTTACTCAAACATTTAAGGGTTCAGAAATTCAAAGACTGAAACACTCAAAAACTCAAAGATTGGAATACTCAAAGACTCAAAGTCTCAAAAACGCAGACTTAAAGACTGAAGCACTCAAAAATTTAGACACTGGAAAACTGAAAGACTCAAAGGCTCAAAAACCGAAAGACTCAAACACTTAAAAATTCAGAGACCGAAAAATTAAAAGACTCAAGGGCTCAAAAGCTCAAAGACTCAAGACCAAATAAACTACCTTAAATTTTCCATGATCATACTAACTCATTCTATGAACGTTGATTTTCTAAGCTTTCCTCTTAAATCCCCAAATGGCACCCTCGAAGTATCTCAATTACATTTGCACGCACTTATACTGTATCCCGAAGAAACGAAACCTTTGTCACACGATTCACGTGCATTCTGACACACAGTTTCCTTAATACGAAATACAACATAGGGTAGAAAATTTTTCTAGCTACTCACCGAGCCAAGTATTCTCTTTTGTGACGAACCAACCACGGGTTTGGACAGTTACGGGGCGATGACTGTTGTGAAGACACTCAGAGAGCTAGCTGCCAGCGGAAGAATAGTCATTTGCTCGTTGCACCAACCTGCTTCCGGTTTGCTGGACATCTTTCACGAGGTCCTCTTGCTCACAGGTGGCAGAGTCGCTTTTCAGGGCTCGTCTGTTGGCGCCACAGAATTTTTTGATAGGTTCGAAGGACTATTTATATTTTTATCCAATTTTTAGGTGAATTTTTAATTGCTTTTAGAAATAGGAATTAGTTAATAATTTTTTAATCTCATGGACCGTTAATATTTTAATATTGTTTCACTTAAATTATTTTGGGAAATAAGAATTAGTTAGTAATTTCTTAATCTTATGGAAGAATAATATTTTTGAATATTGTTTTAAGCGAAATTATTTTTGAAACTCTTCCCTTCGTGTTGAAAATGTTGTCGGATATAAAAATCGAGTCACGGTAAAAGGATTTTTGCGTCAGCCATACCTAGGTGACGTGACCTTTCACGAGAAACTGGTGTCCAGCCATATTTCGGTGACGTGGTTTCCTTGAAAATACACATGTCACCTATTTTTTGGTAACACGACGATCAGCCTGGTAGTTTGGTCTAGTAGAGCGAAATATAATCAATAAATTTACAATGAAAAATACCCATAGTACTTTTGCGACATTTTATAAATTCGCGCTTTATTAAGTAGAAATTTAAAAGTCGGGAATATTTTTCCCAAAAATTTTACAACCGACCTAAAATATTATGTAAATTCTCTACAAGAGTCAGTAAGTTTGGATTCTACAAGTGACAGTATAGATGGTCCTACGCCTAGGTCTGCGTCATTGCTGCGCCCATGTTATCTCGCTTGCAGTTAGTCAAGCGTGTAACGCTCCACCAGTCGGTTTCCTTTACGAGATTTCACGGCTCGACAAATCATAATAGAAAAATATAATTTCTTTAATTTTACTTTTTTTCATCTGGAATTTTTTTTAACATG